TTGATCACAATCAAAGCATTTGAAATTCAAGTTTACGTGACATCGTATCAATTAAAAACCATTTTTAGTATATCTAATAAAATTGATTGTGAGGATCCTCTCTGGGATATTTTGGTGCTCTATACATATGCAACAGTGTAGTTCATTTAGCAAATGGACGATGTCCGGGCAACTTTGATTGCGCTCAAGGCATTTTGAACCAGGTTCACGAGACGTCGTGTTAGTTGGCCATCACTCTCAATGTATTTGCTAAAATTGTGCATAAGAAACATAAAAAAGTCAACAAATACCCCCAATAGCTATAAGGTGCACTACCGCTAATGGTTGGCTTTACAAATCTCCAAGAGCTGCTTAGATCAATAAAAATTCTCTTTAGTATTCGCTTTGTACTAGACAAACATGTTGAATAAAGTCGACATTTTAAGTTTACAACAATACCAAGCTCGGCTTCATGCCTTCTTGAGTGAGTATCATTTCTCTTAGTTTTGCATTGACCTTTGAACCAATTAAAAAGAACTTTACCTCTTGAACTTATCACGTTGGAAAGACTTGAGATTTAAGAGTTTCTGCCATCAAGCTGACAAAATAAATGCTCCTTTATTATGGAATTTCTTACAACTTGTTGGGTATGAAAGGTAGTCAACGCCTCAAGCCCTATACTTGAGATGTGGAGACTTACTTTACCAACCTAGAGTCTTCTTCCTTGAACTTCAGAATGCCAGCACTTAGTAGATCGGTAGAGAGAGATGCCTAATTTGAATGAGGATTTTAACTAGATTAATGGGTAGTAAGGCCTTGGTGATGCTAGCAAATTAGCTCAGTCTAAGCTCTTCTTTGAAACCATCATAATTTCTGTGATCATTTTGGAATGATTAGGCGGGTATGACAGGTCACAACTTGCAAGTTGAACTAAAAGTCCTAGGCAACTTACAGAGCCAAGCAAGTAGACAACATAATATTGAGCAGCCTAGACACTAGCAATCGGTAGCAAAGTGCTCATTTGGATTAATCGATTTGCTACATATGTTCTGCCAATAAAGTGTTGTGAAATCAGAGGATTATAACATTATTAATTAGTTGAGGTGGTGGAAAAATATAATGTGTTGAAAACAGTATTTAGTACATAATATGACCATTATGAGTTTTTGGTTATATGTTTTGGCGTGACTAATGCATCAACAATGTCAATAAATAAGATGAATAGGGTATTTCAATTATACTTGGATTAATTTTTCATTTTGTTTATTGATAATATATTAATATATTTAAGAACTAAAGAGGATCGTGTGGCTCATTTGAGATTGTTATTAGAAATAAAGAGATTGTATGCTAAATTCTTAAAATATGAGTTTAATTGTGAATTGCTAAATTTAGATAAATGGAGATTGTCTAATTATGAACTGTTTACTAATATATCAAAGGTGACAAAAGATTTTTCCTAAATTACAGTTCCTTTGATCATGCTGACATAAAAAAACAGTGCATTTTAAGTGAACATGAGAATATAAAAACATCTTCCGTTAAGGAACGACTTGGTGTAGAGATGCAAGCTAATTAGACTAAAAAAATAAAGGAGAACACTAAGGAAAGTAGAACCTGACTCAATTCAATACTTAGTAAGTCAACACCATACAAACTTGAAAACAAATGAAAATTATACAATAAGAAAACTTAAATAAAAAAAAACTACACTCAGAGCAACCAGCTAGTGGTCACCTCACATGCATCGAAATAGTATGTAAAATGATTAGTGCTCAAAAACATGCAACCAATGGTCCACCACAACTACTTTGGGCCAACATCCAAACCAAACTCCTCCGGCAAATGCTAACAAACCGGCCAACCAACACCTTCAAATGCTTTAGAATAAAGATACAAAAGGGGTGGAAACTTGCGGAGAGAAGAAATAGATAAGAAGTCCGAGACGAAGTTATAGAGAGGAGAAGAGAAGGGGGGACATAGCTCGCAAGCTATTAAAGAAGAAACCCTCAGGTCTTAGTGTTTTTCAATCACTCTCCTCCCCCAACAGCCACCAAAACTTCCCTTTTATAGCCACAAAAGAGAGACCAAAAGACAGTCTCAACCGCCCCAACCAACCATCACACCATCAAAAAGAAAAAAAAAAGGTAGCATTTAAGACTCCTAGAAATCAAACCAACACAACCAGGAACCAGGACAGAAACATGAACCGAGAGACCCAAGCAGAGGAACCGAACAGCCAAGCGGGCAAGACCCGATTAGCCCATCAGGCAGGGAACCGAACAGCCCAACAGGCAAGGAACCGAACAACCAACCCAAGCAACCAATAACCGGCCAGCTCCCAAATAGACCAAACCCACATGAACCAAACCCAAATCAGCCCAAGTCCAACCACCACAAAGAAGCTAGCACACCAAAGACTTGCCATGTCCAAGAGCACAACCTACACATGATCATTGATTACCTTCCATCATAGGGTAGAAAAACATAAAAAAGACATAAAATTCAAATTACAATAAAATCCAAATTAAAAATAAAATTGAAATGAAGTTTGCATGCATCATGTAGGAAAAATATTTTCATACATTATAGTTATAAAGGAAGAGAATGGGATATGTTTTGATGAAGCATAATAAGATAATCGCATATGCATGCAGATAGTTAAAATCACAAGAGAAAAACTATCATAGAAGTGAATTTAAGTTAGAGACTAATGTGTACGGGCTGAAGATTTAAATACATTATCATGAAGTATTTTTTTTATTTAAAATGTGTTTAATTTAAGGTATAAAGGGTAATTTGAATTAGTACAGATTATATCTCAAAATTCAATGTCAAACTGACAAGGCTAATATTGTTGAGGCATCTTGAGCAAGAAGTCTACTAAAATGACAAACTGATGATTACTTCTAAATTTGTATTAATTCATTAAATAAATATGTTAGAACTAGAAGCAATCAGCGCAACTTATCTAAATACTTTAACCATTTTCCCAGATGATTGTCGTTGCTGCTCTATAGAAGGGGATCCAAGAAGCCTAAAAGCCTAATTAGGAGTACAAGTGATAAGGCTAAGTTATGGAAGAAAAAAAAGTACAGCTATAGATGAATAATATGGGAGAGCTGATTTATAAAGGTAAACTATGAAACTCCTTTAGAAAATAAAACTAAACTCTTAAGCATCAATGTTTCTTTTAATGTAATGGTTGGAGTTTTATTAGAAACTCCAGAGTTAAGTGTAGCCGTGCATTAGCAATGATGAGTGACCTCTTGGGAAGTTACGCCATAGGGGAAAAACCGTAAAGTCATTAGGACAAAGCGGAAAATATCTCCATGGCTAAGAGTTTGAACTATTACAAATGATATCAAAGCAATACAGCAGCTTAAATATGAAAATTAAGTGCTCTTATCTACGTGGTGGATTATTATGGACTGAAGATACTAACGAGGATGTTAGTTACTTGAGTGAGGGAGATTATGAAACTCCTTAAGAAAATAAAACAAAACTCATAAACATTGAGGCATCTTTTGGTGCAATATTAGAATTTTATCAGAAACTCAAAAGTTAAGTATGCTCGTACATGAGCACTCCTAAGATGAGTAACATCTTAGAAAGTTATACCATTGGGACAAAACTGTAAGGCAATTATGCCAAAGCCAAAAATATCTCGATGGCTAGGAGTTTAGGCTATTACATCAACTATAGGTAATCAGCTATTCCAAGTTGGATCTTTGTATAAAACTAAGACATTAAACTCTATATCTCTCTACAATCACGAATGCTACGACATGCAATAAGAATAAAATATACTAATAATATATTCAGAATATATCACGGCGACATGCATTGTGAATTATTTGACCTTACCACCAGGTTGAGTGAATTGACAATAAAAATAAAAGCTATTCATTTTTAGCATGATTTAAGAGAAAAAGGTCACGAGGGTTCTTTGAACTCATTTAAGCAAAACCATAACATGGCTTCTTTCATGAAAATAATAATTAAAATTTTCTACAATATGCAAATTATAATATAAAAGTAATAAGATTTAGAAGAAAAACAATCACAAGTCTAAATCTTTGAACCCACTAAATCACCACTAGAACATGGCTTATTTCAAATGAAAAGATTATTAAAGTTGACACAATATAAACATTATATAAAGAAAGTGATAAAATGGCTTGTTTGGGAACTTAATAATTTTCTCTAATAAATATTTTGCATTTGAGTCCTTCACATTTGATTAGAGATTAACATGCAAAATTAACAAGGGTAACACATTAATAACTAGATTTAACACCCATAAAGAAGAGTGAAGTTTATATGTTGAGGATAAAGATGAAATGCAACCAAATATGTGGAACATGGAGTAATTAACTCAGGCAGGTAAGGATTTTAATTTGCCTAAGCAGGATTTGAATGTAACAAATACTTGAAGTTCACATAAGATAAGAGCAAAACATCAATGAAATACAATTGTAAAAAGAAGGTTAAGAAAAACTGCCACTCAGCGAATGAAAAAATATAGTCGGAACAATAGGAACAGTAGTAATTCAAACTCCTGTTGAACTCAAAAAATCTACCTACCAACCAGCACCCAAACGATCCTATTCCCTACGCTAATCTCTCCATAAGCTACATATTAATCCCTCCGTTGAAAGCAAAAAAAAAAACTACAATAACTAATTAACCAGAGTGAATTTATGCTTTAACACTCAACTTTCAATTAAAAAATGTAAATAAAAAAAATCCTAGCCCTAACACTGTACATCTCAAAGGGGCAAGCTTTAGAACAAGCACAAACAGTCACGAATCCAAAAGAAAACTAGCCACAACTCATATTAGTCATTGGAAGGCGAGCAGTAACATATTCTGCAGGCTTGCTGAACGGAAACTTTATAATTAATTCCTCGTCTCCATCCATTTTTGCATTAACATTTAAATTCTTATACTTATTCTACAAGAACTAAACATCATCGATTGCATAGGGAAACCAGAAGCAAATGCAAGGAGTAACTTACATATGTGTTGAGTTGGCGGTTGAAGCTGGAGAAGTTGCTGTGCTTAAAGTATTTAGGAAGAAGAGTGGTTGAAAACTTAAAGGAATCCCAAACGATAAAACTATTCTTAGCAGAGCTCCATGAAACCACGGTATCAGTCTCCGGATCCTCCACCATCTCAAAAATCTTCATCAAGAACGGTGGAGGACCCAGATCATTCAGGCCTATTATCGGCTGCGGCGGATCATCGGTTACCTCTGCCTCTTCCTTCACCATCACTAACTCATCCATGACTAGCCACTTAACATGGATTTGCCGAAAGGAGACAACCTCAGCGGATTATTAAAAAGGATCGCAGGGCAAATATTTGAGTTTCTGAGAAATTACAGGTTTGTTGAATCAAGAAGAGGGGAGAGAACAGGGTAGAGATCGTCCCCATCATAGCGAACATAGAGGGGCCCGGGCAGGAATCCACCGGTCAGTTCGTGCGCGCGGTGACCGGTTGAGAAACAGACTAGTGGCCGGGGTTATTGTAGAAAGAGACGTTGGTAATGATGAAGCGAAGATATTTTTCCGATAGTTCTATGAATCTAGATGCCTACAAGCTACTCTCACTAAAAAAGGTCCAATATACTAACTGTTGGTTACTGGACGCGAATGAAAAATTGTAATAAAGATTGGTAAAGGTTAGAAAAGATTTAAACGGTAAATTGTTTTTGAAAATGTAAACGGTAAAAAATGCGATGTAACCATCTTGGTGGTGCAACCGAGTCTGAGCTGATTTGAGCTCAACTTGGTAATAGATGAGTCAAGCTTGAACTCGATTTTGAGCTCGACAGCTTATTGAGTTCGAGCTCAAACAAAAATCTGCTCGACTCGTTGAGTGGATCACCGAGATGACTAGGCCGGAAAAGAAAATCTCAACTGAGCGGACAGACACAACGATTCAAAGGTCGGGCGGGAAAACCAAAATGACGGAGCTTGGGAAGACGGATCTCGACAACGGACGTGACAACAAGGTTGAGACGATGGATCTCGACGGAGGAGCTCAGGACAACAACCGACCTCTAGACGATAGTGAGTGCGACAACGAGCTTGGGATGACGGATCTCGATGACAGAACTCGGGACAATGACGAAACTCAGGACGACAGCAGACGTGACGACGAGCCTACTCAGGATTAAGCTCGAGGAGCCGCTCGACATGAGATGAGTCGAGGGCAAGCTCGGATGTTAAGCTCGACTCGAGTTAGAGCTCGAGCTCAGCATTTGACAGTCGAGCTCGACTCGAACACCCCCAGCTCAAACTCGGCTCGACTCGTTTGCACCCCTAATCTTGACAATCTTGACACCGATATTGATATTTCTTATATCTTTAATGTAAAACATGCTCTTTCAACATCATTTATTTTGCTCAAACTAGGGGTGTCAATTTCGGGTCACGGGTCGGGTTCGTATCGAACCCAGAACTGACCCGTGTTCAATCGGGTTGACCCTAACCAGACCCGGGTGGCGAACAGGTCGGAAATTTCGCAGCCGCGCTGGCTAGCGCTGGCAGCCGCGCGGGTAGCCGGAGTGGGTGTGGGCAACCTCAGGCAGCTCATTCTAAACGGGTTTCCGGGTTGACCCGGCAACCTGTCGGGTCAACCCGAGCCCAACCCATTTTTCAAACGGGTCGGATCCAACCCGAAATTTCTGGGTCGGATTCGAATCGAATTTTCATGTCGTGCCAAATATTTGACACCTCTAACTCAAACGATTATAAATGGATGAGATTTATGAGAATCTCTCTCACTGAATTGGGACAAAAGCCTTCAACCTACCCCTCCGATCACATCAGTAGAGCAGACACATAACCCCATCCATGATTAATTCCATTAAAAAAATATTGTTTCGTGGGAGCTAATCTTTTTTTGATTTATTACCAGGTGATTAATCAATATCATTTTTTTAACTTTTGTTTCTGGTAGTTTATCATCTTATGATGGGCATGGGCTTTGGCACGAGGGCTCTATGGCTTAAGCATAAATGTTCAAAAGTGTGTGATTTACCATCAAAATAAATGTTTATGGCGATGTTAAGGATTTATTTGGGATGGTTTTCTTACTACTTCTTAAAGCAATTTTTTAGTAAAAAAATCATTCCAAACGAACCTAAGTTGGCGGATGATGATGTAATTTTTTTATCTCTTACAGGGATATTTATCTGATAAATTTTGAGTAGTAGAATTTATATATATCACTAAATAGTTTTAATGAAACTTGACATATAATGGGTTCAAGCTAAGATAAGTTTGAGTGTTTTGCTTGAACTAAAGACATGAAATCTATCAGATACAATGGGATTAGGTTAACTCAACCAACACTAGACCAAGGTCAGGTCAATCCAAGGAAGTCTTGATTGGTTAGGTTAGCATATTAAGAACATAGAGCTATCTAAACCACCAAGGCTTATCATTGATTCCAATGATTTAATCAGCTCTATTATATAGATTGATAGATAGATATGAGAGAGAGAGAGAGAGAGAGTAATAGCTCGTATTTTGATTTAGTTAAATAAGATTTTTCATGAGTCATTATAAGCCCAAAATATAAACCATCATTGTCATAACATAGATGTTGTTGTGCTTTAATACACTAAATTTTTTATATTTTTTTATCATTGGTGCAAATCTTTAAGAAATTGATATATGTCGATACAAGTAGGAATTTTGGGATCAACAGGTGTCCATTTTGCAAATCAATTTTACCATAATTTTTTTAAAAAAATGAACTATTTTATGAATATTTTTTTTATAATTTTTTAAGTCCTAAAAAGATTCATATAAAATTTATATTGAAAATTGATTAAATTATATTATTATGTTATTATTTATTTATAAACATCTCAAGTCAAATAACATAATTTTATTAAAATCTATTTCTAATTCCTAAGATCGGCTAAAAGAAAAGGAATTAGAGAATTTAGAGAGAAAATAGAGTTGAGAGAAAAAGAAACTTAGGGTTTGAAAGTCATAGAGCGATTTTCTCCACTCGCTCGTGTTGGGAGATTTGCTCATCTTATTGTAAATAATCATTATCATATTTATGATTTCAATAATTTCATTTTTTAGGATTTTTTTAATCAAATTTATATTTTTATTGCCGAAAAACGAGAATAATTTTGTATTCGTAAAACTTTCACAGTGTAACTTTGTATATATTATAGATATAGAAATTATGAACGTTTTGAGTATTTATTTGAAATTTTTTGTTAGGTGATTTTAAAAAAGTAATGATTTTTATCAATTCAAAAATTTATTTGAACATCTAAAAATAGTACTTTAGTTTAATTAAAGCTTCAGAATATTGTTATATATGATCTCTGGTAATTTAGTTAATTTTTAAAAATATAAATTTGTTCTCAATATGATTTTCTATTATGTTAGGTCATCTTGGTGTTTTCTGAATTAAGCTCAATTATAAACTATAATACATTAAAAATAAGTGTGGATATGTGATAAAGTAATAGCTTATCACTATTACTGTTGTAGTGATTTGATAATAATGCGTGTGTGGAGAAAAATAAGTAAAGGTTAATTATTCACTAATGTTGGCTGGAAACTAATTGACATGTATAAGAAGATGGGATGACAAGTTTTTTGTAGATACTATGGTTAAGTGTTATCATCTATTGATTCACGTGATAACAATGATACAATGATCGATTGAGAGCTATAATGAGTAGGGGTGTCAATATTGGTCACGAACCAAAAATTTGACTCAAATACGACACGAAAATTTTGGGTTTGAGTTGACCCGAACCCAAATCGGGTCAGGTTTGGGTTAAAGTTTTCTACCCATTTCTAAAATCTGGTCAGGTTCAGGTTTACCCAAAAACTGAGAAATGACCTGGATTAACCTGCTGACAGTGTTGCCAGCGTGACTGCCGCTGCCCTAGGCCAATCATGTGTCACCCCCGCTTACATGCGTTAGGCAAGCTGCTGCGTGACCTCGCCTGCTCGTGTGAGACCTCGTTCCTTTGCTGTTGCTGTAGCTGCTGGGAAAAGTGAATTTTTCCCAGGATCGTCCGGGCCGATTGGAGATCGTCCAGGCCGATCTGCACTGTAGAAAATATCGTCCTGAGAATAGTTCTGGGAGTCGTCCAGGACGATCAATTTTGGTCTGATCGTCCCGGGACGATGTGACGATCGGCCGGGCCGATCCCACTAATGATATAAGAAAATGAGCTCATTTTGAGGAGAGAGAAAACATTTTTATAAATCAGATATTTTGAGGAGAGAGAAAGGGCGGAAAAGCAAAGGAAGAAGTCCGATTTCGGGGCCCGCAGAGCGATTTTCGTCGTTCGTTGCTGTTGGATATTTTGTTTGTCTCGCTGTAAGGATTCCGAACCCTACTTCTGTTTTCAGAGATTTTGAGTTATATTAATATTTTATTACAAAAATCTTAAACCACTAACTTAAGTTATTAAATCCATTTCACATTTCTTTATTTTGGCTAAACGAAGAGTAGCTTAAGTAAAATTAGAAGAAAATAGAGGAGAGAGAAAAAGAAAACCTAGATTTGAATATTGCAAAGTGATTTTTGACAGTCGGATCTATTAAAAAATTTCCTCATCTCACTGCAAAGAATCATTACCCTATTTCTAATTTCAAGAATTGTATGTTTTTTGGTATTTTCTGATTAAGTTTGTATTTCTATTATAAAACATGAGGACAATTTTGTATCGGTGAAACTTTCACAGTATAACTTTTTATATGTTATAAAGATTTAGATTATAAATATTTTAAGTATTTAATTGAGATTTTTTTTTTGTTGGGTTATTTTAAATTGTAAGCAATTTTTTTCTATTCAATAATATATTTTTATATCAAAAAAATATAATTTTAGTTCAGTAAAAACTTTAAAATATTATTATATACAATACATTGTAATTTAGTAAGTCTTTGAAAATATGAATTTTTGTTCATTAAAGTTTTTGTTACCTACCATTAAGACATTTTGATATTTTTTTAATTAAGCTCAATTATACTTTTAATTGTAATGTATTAAAAATGAATGTGAATATATATGTGATTAATTAATATTTAGTTATTATTACTAATATAGTTCTATGACAATAATGTATGTGAAAAAGATAAGTAAAGACTAATCGGCCAGTTGGTTGGTGATTGATTGATATGTACATGATGGTGAACTGACAGACTTTCTTTTAAATATGTGGTTTGTTATTTTTCTCGACTAATTCATATGATACACTAATTGAGAATTATAAGGAGATGATTACTGTGCCGATGGGTAAAGAGTGACGATTATGTTTACTGAGTCAACGATTTACTGATATTGACATTGATACTAAAAAAAATATCATTATAGCCAGGACTTTTATTTGTTTAACATGATTATTAGAATGCATGATATTAAATCACTGCCACTGTATGGCTTTATTGTTACTTCCACCCATGATGTTTATGTTACTACTATTTCACTATTATTAATATGCTAATCACGTGACATATATTGAG